ACCGCGGTCCAGCAAGCTCGTGTGTTCTGAGTCGCCTGCACACGTGTTACGGTGCTTTTTGCCAGACACCTCCAGGTGGGTAGGGCTGCCCCAGTTTACACAGAGGAGATGGAGGCAGGCGTGAAGGCAGAGGCCGGCTCGGCCCCAGCCCAGATCCCACGGGCTGACAGCTGCCCTGCAGAAGTGTCCAGAGCTGCTGTTACGATGCACGTGTAGTGTCCGACGTCCTGAGGCTGGACGTTCCACATCAGGGCCACGCGCCCTCCAGGGGCTACAGGGCACGACCCTTCCTGCCTCTTTCAGCTTCTGGAGGCCCCGGGCATCCTTGGCTCAAGACCGCATCACCCCAGCTCTGCCCTCAACATCATGGGGAACTGGATGCCCCCCCGAATCTCTCTCTGCTCTCTCATAAGGACCCCAGATGTGGATTTAGGCCACCAGGATACAGGATGACTTCATCTTAACTTACCACAGCTCCAAGTACCGTATTTCCAAACAGGCTCCTGTCCTGAGGTTCTGGGTGGGCATGAATCTGGGGGAACGCTAGTCCACCCAGGAGCCCCTCGAGCTAGGGAAGGTGGGGCACGGGGAGGAGTACGTTTCCCTGGACGGAGACTGGTCAGGGGCAGTGACTGCAGGTGGAGGGGCCAGGTACGGCCCACCCTCAGGAAAAGGTGACCAGGTGACAGCCACCAGGAGAGACGGCTCCAGGCTCCCCAAGCCTCAGGCCACCGTGACTCTGTGACTCATTCCACCAACTAAAGTGAGAGGCAGTGGGGGTGGCTGAGGGCCAAGGGTGAGGCAGGGGATCCGGCTTCCCCCTAGCCACGACCCTGACCTCCACCCAGGAGGCCACAGTGGCCACGGCCCAGCCCAGGCTGTGTGTGTATCACGTTTACACACAGGTCAGAGCATCTGTGAGCATGTGTGCGTTCGTGTGTGTTCACGGGTGTGAGTGCATGTGTGAGCTGCACAGGGCTGTGTGGGTGCAGGGGTGCGTGGGGGAGAAACAGCCCCTTTGAGAGAAGGGCACAGCCTGGTTTCCTGGAGAATGTGCCAGAATGCAGAGAAATTGCCCTGGGGAGGGGGGGCTGTGACCTACCCCTGGTCCTGAGCCGGCCCGCCCCCCACAGACCCACCCCCAGGCAAACCTTCCACCCTGGGGCGAGGTACGGGCAGAAGAGGTGACCCTGGTCAAACAGCAGGCCCTTGCTGCCCCCCTCCAGGCCTGAGCCGGTCTGGGAAAGGCCGTCTGGGGGCCCAGGTAGCATCTGCCTTCAACCAGGGCCCGTGGGCAGCAGGCGGCCAGCAGTGGGTCACCGAGTTCCAGCCGCACTGCCAGCACGTGTCCATCAGCGTGGGAGCGGGACCCCCAGGGCCGCACAAGCCCATTCTCGGGTGCCTGCTCAGCCCTCAAGTCCCCAGGTGCACCTGTCCCCCGGCAGCTCAGCCCCTGCCCAGCCGGAGCCCCTTCCCTCTGCCCTGTCCCCGGGCATGCTCACCCCGGAACCAGGGCCACGCACACTGGGGCCAGGCACAGGGTGAGGACATGGGCAGGGGGCAGTGTGACCGAGAGGCTAGGGGCTGGGGGGGCTGCCTTGTCTTCTGTGAACTTCCCCAAACTCCAGGTCGGGCCGACTGGCCCGCAGTGACCCTTGCCCCAGGGTCAGGCTTGACTGGCACCACCTAGGGACTAGCCCTGACTCAGTGTGCCACACCACCGACCCCAGCCATCTGCACAGGACCCTCAGCGGAGGGCACCACAGTCATTCCCACCTACAGATTAAGAAACTGAGGCACGGAGGCGGCCGCAGCTTTGGGGAAGGGCTTGTCCACTACCTACCCCAGGGGGTCCCCAGGCAAGCCCCGGATTCGCTGGGCTCCTGCCCAGAAACCACGGAGCTCGAATTGAGGTGCACCTGCCAGGCACTTGCTGCGGTCCTGGGCTGCACACGGTCGGCCTGAGGCTGGCAGGGTGAGGAACAAGGCGGTCCCCTGCCTCCGAGCGCTGCAGCTGCCCCCTCGAGGCCACACGCCCTCCCCCAGCCGCTGCTCCTGACTCCCATGGGGCACCCTCATCACCCCTCCATTCCTGGCTTCCAGGCACCACCCATCTGGTCTCCCCAGAGTGAGGTTCCACCTATGCAAGGCTAAGTGGCAGAGAGGTTGAGTGACTGGCCCAAGGCTACACAGCACCGAGGTGACAGGGCTGTGACTGCCCAGAAATCCCCCAGGGTCACACACATCCTGGACCCCAGAGGAGGCAGCCCTTCCAGACTCCCACCTGCGCCGGCCCATCGCCCCAGGAGCACACACTCGGGCCTGGCCCCCTCGAGCCGCCTGCCCTGCCCATGTTGGAGAGGTGGCCTAGGCAGGCGCTGGGTTAAAATGAGGCTCCCAGCCCCCTCAAGCGGGTGCCCATGGCCTCGGCCTCAACCTCAGCCCTCGTCACTCTCTCTGCAACAGCCACCACTGTCACCACCTCTATGGGAAATGCCACAGAGCCCATGATGGACGCAGAGCTCTCAGTGGGCAGCAGAACTGGCCTGGTGACATTGTGAGGACTCCCTTCCTGGGCCCGAGTCACTATGTCCACCCCTGAGTGTTGAGTGACCACAGAAACAAGCTCCAAGAGAGCCATGCACATGAGTGTCCCCCGCCCTCTGAGTTTGGTGGACTTCAAGCAAAGTAGCCCCCTAGACAGGAGCCAACCTCAAAAAGAACCATCTCGCTCTGCTTTGGAGGAAAGCCATCTGCCACTGTGGCCTTGTCTGAATGCACCACCCCCCTCCAAAATAGCAGTCTGTGTTCACTGAGTGCCAAGTTTTCACCAGGCCCTTCACCCCTAACAGAGCCCGGGGGGCTGGGTAGGTGTCACTACCCCATTTTACCAATGAGAAAACTGAGGCTCAGGGAGGCAACGTTGGGCAGGGGGACTCCAGGCAGTGGGAGCCAGGCTCTGAACACTGGGCATTTAGCGGGAGGGTAGGAGACCCCACCTCTCTTCCACCCCAGTGCCCACGTGGGGGCCAACAGGAGGCCTGCGCCGAGCCCACAACCCATCACCACCATCTAGGGCGGCCCGCCCCAAGGGGCACCGCTCTCCCCTTCACTCCACCTGCAAAGAGGAGACCCCCTTGCCTCCTGCCAGCTTTTTCCCTTGTAAGTCCTCAAACTGACACATTATAATTACACTGATCACAGCTGTTTAGACAAATATTTGAAGAGGAGCAAAGCTCTGTTCGAAAATGGGGGAAGGGTCTCCTGCCGGTGTGTGTCAGGGGAGGGTAACTGAACGCACACAGGTAAGTCCAGGCCCCACGGAGAGCACAGAGGCAGGGCGTGGGGGAGGGCGGGCCCCATCCCTGGGTCAGTCCTGGCTCATACAACCCGCCTCCGCCAACGGTTCCTAGGTCGGACCCTCGCCTGCCAGCAGCCACCCCACCTGGCACACCCGCCTGGAGCCACCTGAACACCTAAAGGTTGTCTGGGCCTGGGACTGCTCTGCAGGGCCACCTCCACCCCCACTTCCAGCCCTACCCTCAGAGCCCAGCCAGGGCTGTCACTGCCAGATTCTGGGCCATCCACGGGTGACACCGTGTTGTCCAAGCCCTGAGAGTCGCCTTGGGAAGTCATTTCTGAGCGAGTGACACCCACACCCTACGCCCAGCAGACGAACTTGCTGTCAGCTCCCCGGCCAGGAGCAAATGCATTCAGATAGGGCCATGCCCTGGGGACCCTGTGCATCACTGCACGAACTGGGCCCTGCTTCAGGGACGGGGACCCAGCAGGGCCCGTCACGTGCTCACCCAGCTTTGTTTTGGCTGGAGCAGCCTGTGCCAGAGCCCCAGTGACATGTGGGTGGGCCCCTGGGCCCCTGGGCCATGGCTCCAGGGCAGGGGTTTCTCTCTCACTTGAGCCAAGGGGGCGGGGGGCGGGCAGGACTGGTGAAGGCACAGGGGAGAAAGCCCAGCACCACAGATGCCAGCTGCTGCCAGGAGGGCAGGCAGCCCCAGTAAGCAGGCTGCCAGGGCCACCAGCCTGGCGGAACAAGGGGCCAGGCCGCAGGTCCCCTACCACTAGCTTGACAGCACCACCTCGGCCTCCCTCTCTGTCCCGAGGGCCTGGGCATCCATGAAGGCCCGTCTCTGCTGCGCCGCTGTCCAGTGGGCTCTGTCCTGTGGGCTGACCACCACTCCCACCTCCCCATGCAGTTGGCTGGGTAGCCTGGCAGGGCTCCCCAGAGCCTGCTCCCAGCCTGGGAGGAGCCTCCCGCGCTAAGACCGCAGGCCGGCAAGGGGCCATGGCAGCCTGGGCCTGGGGGGCCACACTCCCACACCTCCTAGGGCCCTTAGTCCTGGCTACCTCCTCCCCGGGACACTGGGGCCAATGCGGGCCCTCCTGCCCCAGTTACCTGAGCTGGAAGCTTCCACGGACACAGGGCAGTGCCCCCACTGCCCACCCGCGCTGCTGGAGGCCTCAGCTGTGCAGGTCCCAGCCCCAAGGCCTGCCCACCGCCACAGATCCGGGCCTCTAGGGGGTCCTGTCCAGAAAGCTGTTCCTTTTGCGGCTCCGCTCAGAGTGGGGAAAGGGTTAATTTCCATGCAAAACAGAAAACCGGCGGCTCAGGAAGCATCATGT